GTGGCACTGCTGACGTGGCACTGTGTCTGACGTGGCACTGCTGACGTGGCACTGTATCTGACGTGGCACTATGTCTGATGTGGCACTGTAGCTGACGTGTCACTGTACCAACCTAGAAATGCATGCAGAGGGGTGGGGTGGGGGGAAAATGTAGGTAGGAAAACAACCCAACAATACTTGCCCCCGACCCTAATCAACAGATAAAAAATAAAAAAATAAAAGAGGACTACTTCCTCTTTTTTTTTTTTTGTATATCTGTCGATCTATTATGAGTGAGACATGTCAGAAGAGTATTATGAACGAGATCTAGGCCAGGTTCCGCAAAGTTTCGGCTTTCACTAAAATGCAATCTTTGAAAAAAATAAAAATATTTTTTTTTTGCGAAATAGAGTAAAGATGCGATTTTAAGAAAGAACGAAATACAGTTTCTGAGAATATGGCAACCTCTGACTATAGGCTCCGCAAGATTTCGGTTTTCAAAAAAATTTGCGAGATAGAATGGAAATTCGATTTTCAGAAAAGAATAATTTCGGTTTCCGAGAATATGACCACTTCTATCGTTATCCCAATATGCCTAGAAAACGAAATACTAACTTCAGAAATTTCAGCTATGTTTGCGAAATATCAGAGAAACGAAAAGCTACTATCGGAAATTTTCAGACAAAACGAAATGCGATTTATCAGAAATTTTTAGATATTTGTCACGTAAAAAACGAACTACTAATATCAGAAATTTTCAGATAGAACGAAATGCGAATATCAGAAATTTTCAGATAGTTGTTGCGAGAAAAGAAAAAATTTTCAGAGATTTGACTAAGTCCTACTTGATTTACTAATGAGTGATCACTAGATCAAGCAAGCTTGCTACTTGATTGAGCGGGTCCTCTGAATGAGAGGTCCGCTCCGATACCAAACTTTTGCATACCGTATAGGTGCAGACCAGAACAAGAACCGACCCTTCAATACAAAGTATAAGATAGCATAGCGGAAGACTTAGATACCAATGATCCGAACAATCAATATTGCAATGCAGCCATCATCATCATGGTGTGAAGGGGTCTAGCGCTTCACATAAAAAGACTGCGCCAGCCCCAACCATACACAGACGAAGGAGGTGGGGTTAGACGAAGAAGAAGGGAAGATGGGAATGTCGTCAACACCAAGTGTTCAGCACAGGCCCAAATAGTCCCTCGTCAACATGTCTGAATCCCAATGTCGAGTCTGGATCCAATGTCGTAAAGTCTCATGTCACAACTCTCTCTCTCTCTGTAGTAGTCCGCTGATACTGCGAAGTCAAGTGGTGAGAGGGGAAGAAGAGATGGTGGACTTAGAAGAAGAGGAAGAAGAACTCTCTCTCTCTCTCTCTCTCTCTCTCTCTCTCTCTCTCAGTCCAGTACTAACCTATGAAGTTGGCGCCTTGATGCAGGTACCTCGAAGATGGAGCTGGAGCGATGGCGCCACAGGTAAGTACCACTGGCCTCCGCCAGTACCTCTCCCAACTCTACGCTCTACCTCCTACTAGCGCCCAGCGCTGATGACTACAGCTATGG